AATCGATGCCAATTGCAAAGGTTGATGTCGTGTTTTGCATAAATACCTATGATGTGTAAATAATGTGTGCATGTAAATACAACATGTGTTTGTAAATATGATGTGAATGTGACTTGTAAATATGATATGTGTGTATATGTGATGAAATAATTAGAGTCAACCTTAAAGATTGATGTCGTGTTTCCCATAAATGCATGAGACATGTAAATACAAAATGTGTGTGATGAAGTAATCGGTGTCAACCATAAAGGTTGATGCCATATTTTGCATGACTAGATGTGATGTGTAAATATGATGTGTGCATGTAGATGATAAAATAATCGGTTTCAATCTTAAAGGTTGATGTTGTTTTCAAACTAATGAATTTGATGTGTAAATATAATATGTGTATGCGATGAAATAATCGATGTTATCCTTAAAGGTTGATGTCATGTTTTACGTGACTAAATATGATACGTATATATGTGATAAATTTTATGTTCATGGGCTCATAGCCATTAGTGGCTTTCCAATTTTGTGTTTATGGCCTTGTAGCCATTAGTGGTGCCCTAATTTTATGTTTATAGGCTTGAAGCCATTATCGGCTCGCCAATTTCATATGTATGGACTCATAGCCATTAGTGTCTCATTGATTTTGTGTGTATGAGCTCGTAGCCATTAGTGGCTTACAAATTTTGTGTTTATGGGCTCATAGCTATTATCGGCTCATCAATTTTGTATTTATAGGCTCAAAGCCATTAATGGCTTGCCAATGTCATGTTTATTAGATCGAACTCATTAGTGGCTCGTCGGTTTCATATTCATGAGCTCATAGTTATTAATGGCTTGCTAATTTTGTATATATAGGCTTATAACCATTAGTTGCTAGTCAATTTCATGTTTATAAGCTTGAAGCAATTAGTGGCTCGCCAATTTTATGTTTATGGGCTCGAAGCCATTAATGACTCACCAAATTTTGTGTTTATGGTTGGAGTCCATTAGTGGCTCGCTAATCATGTGCCTTGGGTGTGAGGCCATTAGTGGCCTACCATTTTATTGAATTTTTTTTTTTTCATTTTGGAATGTGGATATAGGCCTTTGATCGGCCTAACTCTCAAATCACTCAATTAAAACATTCCGATAGAAATGAATTTATTCAAATAGGTATAGACTCGTAACATAATAAAACAAGACATTTGGTTTTCACATACATCTAATATAACTTATCTTAGACAAGATAAGATAGGGTGATTTTGATCTTCTCTATACTTAACGAACCCTTTACCTAGATTTCTATGTAAACCGAGTCATTTTTTTTTGGGTTTTCTAGTTTCTTAATACTAGGCGATGAATCTTTCACTTAACTACATGTCCTTTCCTTAGGAATTTGTCGAACTCCCAACATTGCCCTTTTCCCTCACAACAACTAGTACAAGGAACAATTTACAACTCTTAATGAATAAGATAAAATAATTAACTAGGACTTATTCTACATTAGTTTGTTATAACTTCACCTTTTTTATTATTATTATAGTTGCTCGATAATGATCAAGATGGTTTTCTTTGTTCCATGATTGAAGTTATGACCTCTCATATCATCACAAATACTTTCCATCTAATATTTGATGACCAAAACATTAATTAGGATTCGGGTTTATCCCATATTTTGTTTTTGTATAGTTCGAATGTTTTTTATTGAGACATTCTACTCTTTTTCAACTTGATTGAATTTTTTTATTTTTAAAAATACATTGATTTAGATCTTTCGTTATAATTTCATCAATTGTTTATTCTACATGGCATGTTAAATTAAAGACAATCAATCACGGATAGACACGTGGTATAGTGAGTTTCAATTAATAGCGTCTTCGTTCGAAATTAAAAAAATTTAAATATTTTTATTAATAAAATAATATTTAATATTAACAAATAATTCGAAAAGAAAGCATTGCCTCTAAATCCCTAAATTACTAAAATCCCATCAACCTCATCTTTTGCAGCTGCAATTGCTCTTTCTTGAATAAAAAGCTCCCTTTCTTTCTTAATCTAATCCAATTCTCGCCTCTTCCACGCTTCTTCTCTTGCTATCCATATAACCATGAGGATCGGCTCGCAATTAATGCATCCAATTAAAAGAGAAAGACCATTTCCGTTACCGGAAATGGAGAACAAGAAATCTACCCGCTTCAAAACGTTTGATCTTGGAAAATTGATGGAGGTAGATGTCTCTCTGTGGGGTGCTTATCATGTGTTGATATTTGGGTCACTAAAATAATTACAAAGATAGTTTTTTTTTTTTTTTTCCATATCAGCTTTATGCATTTAAAACCTCAAGATTTTTCAAGTACATAGCCGACAACTGTAGGCATTCTTCTTCATATGGTTAATTTTTATGCTTTTGAATGTTCTTACTTTTCCAGCAAATGCACGTTTGGATCTGGATGGATGTCATATTGCAAAGTGCTTCTAATATTTTGTTACTACGCAATTGCATGTTCACGGTGACTATTCTGAAGATGTTGGTGTGACGTTGGATGGGCCAGCTGATGAGCCAATGCTTGAGGCCCCTACTTAAACTGCTTGAAATTCAAGGAAATTTCACGGTGACTATTCTGAAGATGTTGGGGTTGCATGGCTTACATGCTTTCTAGGCTATCGGAGGCTTTATTAGTCCTTCTCGCATCCTATGTATGCGGGAGATCCAGTGTACGAGAAGAGAGGGAAAGTTTACCCGTCGCCGGTGGAAGCAAGAAACGGATTAAGCAACTTGCGCCATTTTCACTGTCTCTTGTGATTTTGGGATTTTGTAGAGATGGAATAAGTACTTCCAAATTCCAATTTCGACCATTTTTTGGGTAGGATGGAGAGAGAAGTCGGGGGCAGTGGCATGAAGTCAGTACTTTCAGAGGTAGGAGTTGGGTTGAAATAACAGGAGTTGGGGCAGTTTTGTCTTTTTTCATTTGTTTTAAATACTAAATATTAATTTAATTTAATTTTAGTTTTTTTTTAATAAAAAGCTGTGAGACTTAAGACTTATTATGCCATGTGTCAATTCGTAATTGTTTATCGTTAATTTTAATATACCACATCGGATGAACAGATAGGAAAATGTAATCAATAAATTTTAAAAATAGAAAGTTTGAATCAAGTAAAAAAACATTAGAAGATCTTAATAAAAAAATTCGAATAGTACAAGTATTAAATGTGAGATAAACCTTTTAACATTCTCTTAATGGTTAATAGTTGTAAAGGTCCTTCTACTTTTACTTTTATCCTTATCATGTTTCTCTTCTTTTTTTTTCATCTTTTGTTCATCCATCTATGTTTAGTTTCTATCTTAAGCTCATTATTAATTCTAGTCTATTCTTTGGTGTCAACTTTTGTTTTTTCCATGTCTTAATCTCATCCCTCTACTCTATTTTTTTCATCTTAATTCTATTTTTTTAATCAAATTTAATTAAATGAATTTTGAAAAAAAAACTTAAAAAAAAAAAAGATGAAGATATATTTCGTCATTCTCTCTAAAAATTGAAAATAAAAGAAAAAGTAAAAAAAAAAAAGAGTAAAGATAAAAATATTTTTTTATACAAATATCTTTTATGGGCTTAAATTTGTCCGTATGGTAATAAACAAATTCTAATTATAAAATGAAATATTTATATTATTTTTTTAATGCAAAGTGAATTTTAGTTAAATTTTTAAAATTAAAAGATTTATAAAATCAAAATAAGTAAATTATAACATACTTGCTTTGATGTATTATAAAATTAAAAATAATATTAAAAAAATTTAAATTTAACTAAAACTCTCTTCACACACACACATATATACACTTATAATTTGTTTACTATCATAGAGATAAATCTAAACTCATATATAAAAGATATTTTGGATGAAAAAAATATTTTAGCTTCACTTTTTTATTTTTTTTTCTGATTTTTAGAGAGAATGATTCGATACATCTTCGCTTTTTATCTAATTTTTTTTATTTTCTATTTTTTTTTAATTTCAATAAGACAAAAAAATAAATAAATAAACAGATGAAATTGAAAAAAAAAAGAAAAAAAAGAGCTAACGCTGTTAGTCTAAAAGTTGGTAGAACGATATGATTAAAATAGAAACTAAATATAGAAGGATGAATTTAAAACCGAAAAAAAAAGGCACAATAAAGATAAAAGAATGAATTTAAGACAAAAAAGAAAAGACACAATAAAGATAAAAGAAAGAATAAGGAAATTTTTGTAATATATATCCTGAATTTGTTTTTTTGGAAATATAGTTTTAAACATATATACCTGTAAAGGAGACAAAATTTTTTTCCTAAAACACAGAAAAGTCAATAGCTTCCGATTTATATATGTTTAATTCTTTGCCATGAAGTTTCATATATGATCGTGCTGTCTATCCTTCTTCCTCACATAAGCGCGTGGTGATTAGCTGGCTATGCACCTTTTTTGATTCCTCATGGAAATAAATTTGGTTAAAATGGAATCAAAGGCTCAAAGCCATCTGGTGATCAAATTGAATCATAATCATATTTCACAAGAACCCTTAAGGTCTGCAAGTTAATATATATATATATATATATATATATATATATACACGCCTCTCTCAAACGCCGAATATGTGTAATAATTGATCTTCATGTTGAACTGCAATATAGAGAAAACTTCCCTAATAATAGGTAATATAAGTCAACTACACGATTCATTTGGTTAAACTACATAAAGGTAGAAGAAAATTGAATAATATTGTTTAATAGTTAAAAAAAAAACATTTTGAATATTTGGCACGATTAGTTCATTAATTACTATTCTCTATAGACTTGGTCTTATTTATTGAAATTGTAAATTTGGACATAAGAAATCAAATACCAAACATTAAGTTAATTATGAGATGTTAATATGTACTTACATATGTAGAAATACCACTAGAAATTTAGAAGGATATTTGATCAAAAACCGGTTTTGTATATATAATACACGCATGATAATTATAAGACAAATTTAAGATCACGATCATCAACAAGTTTGACCACCTGAGGCACTGCTCCTCCGCCGCTTCACGGGGAAAACATGACTGAAACTGCCACGGGTGGCTGCCAAGTGCCACTCCTCCAAAACCAACCCATCTAGTTCAAATTGGTGAGCCCCACCAGAGCCATCATACAAGGACCCTTCTGAGTACCCACCAAGACCACCCCGCCCAGTTGGCTTAGTTTTCCGCCGGCCGGCACCAACAGGAACATTTCGTAAGGCCCCACCTGCCGTCCAGTACCTCTGGCAGCCTCTACAGAAATGTCTTGGCTGGTTAACGTTGTAGTTGTTGAAGTAACAAAACTTGGTCTCCATGCTCTTACATCTAGGGCAAGGTATGATCTTCTCTGGCTTCTTGTCAATGGTTGGATTTTCTTTGTTTTCATCTTCTGTATTATTTTCTTGTCTATCATGCAACGTAATTGTTGCTCCGAAGAGCTTGATACCCTCTTCTTGGCTGGTCATGATGGAGATAAGCAAATTAAAGATGAGATAGAGAGAAATACTAACACTAATTTGTGATACTAAAGCCTAGATTAAGGAGAAAAATGAGAGAGAAGGTTTATGTGTATATAGGCAGGACTTGGAGGTGTTAAGCTATGTATGTATGTATGTATATATATACATGATATAAAAGGTGCAAAAAAAAAATTAATGAAAACAAAATAAATAAAACTCCATGTTAGTAGAAATAAAAAAATAATTAAATAATTAATAATAATTGATAAGAAATAATTAAAATTAATTTGATATATTTTAAATAAAAAAATAAAGAAAAAAATTATTAAAATATATCCAAAAAAAATGAATAACTCGAGAGCGAAATAATTGATGAGAGAAAGAGAATATGGTTTCTTCTTTTTTAACTCAAAAGTTATTTTTCGAAAAATAATCTATTAATTTTTATTGATTAAAAATTAAATTTCATTAATTATTTTTTTCTAAACATAAAATAAATATCAAGAAAAATAAGAAAAACAAGTTTTTCTTTATTTTTCAAAACAAACACGGCCATAGCCGCCAGGGAACAAGGTAGGTGGCGTGGAAAAGCTGATGATGAGATTTTTGTCCACATCATTACTCCACGTCATCAACAGTGGGGTTAAAGAAAGTCCAAATGTGGGTCCCAATACAGGTAGGTCGCGTACAAAGTGTCAAGGATAGGAATAAATTAAAGAGAGAAACTTTTTTCTAAATGGAAGTTCTAACCATAAAGAAAACTAGCTAAAGGGATAAAGCTAAAATAAATAAATAAGGACTAAATTAGAGTAGTCTTGGCATTTGCCTTTGAAAAGTGACTTTGGTTTATGGATTTGGTCATTTGCTTTTAATGGATTATGTTTCCACATCATGGTAGTGGTAATTTTGTATTGGTGAATATCTCTACAAGTTATATATATTGACTAACATGCAGTGATAAGTAGAATAAAAGGTTAATGTTTTTTTTTAAAAAAAAAAAATTGGTGCCATACATGTAGGTGAATAAACTTTGCGCTTAAAAAAATATAAAAAGATTGCAAATTTAAGTACTAAATTTATTATCAATTTTAATATGACATTAGAACCTTTTGATGATCTAATAATTCACTAAATTAAGATATAGATTCAACCACTCAACAATTAATTGCAAGCTAGGAAATTATAATTAGGTAGATCTCTAAGATACATGATTTAAATTTTGAAATAGTATTTATTGAAAAAATTTAAATTTTACCGTTACTCTTCTAAATATAATTAGACATATATCTTTAACGTAGGATGAAGATATTTGGGTAAAAAAAAAAATCATAATCAATCCATCATAAATTTTTTAAATTAAATTAAATTTTGATTATCGAATTTAATAAAAAAAATATTGTCTTACGAAGTTGATAGTCGTTGTTAGTAAAAATGATAGTAAAAAAAATAAAAGCTTTTTAATGATGAATTGCATTCACATTTCCAATTCCATGTCAAGTCAAATTGTTTGGAGATCAATAGAAAATAGAAAATCTGATCATGTGATATATATATATATAAGACGATGATTGTACGCCACAAAAGAAGAAAAGAAGAAAGAAAGTTGTTTAAAAAGATGGGATGCATTCATATTTCCAATTACCATATATATTAAGTAAAATTGTTTGGAGTTGAAGAGATAATCTATGACACCGACTATCATCTGTTCTTACAAATCATTACACCTGTCGGTAATTAGTACCAAAAAAGCAAATTTAAATTCTATCAGAAATAACTTTCTGTCATGTCCAATGGGGACAAATGGGCTTGCAGAGGTTGTAATAGAGACGTATATCTGTATGCATATATATATATGTGGCCATTTTGTAAGTGCATGCATGTTATGGGGCATCTTATGGTCATTACAACTTGCGCATGCAGCATGGGCACTCTAGCAGGATTGTGAGGAAGGAATATGAAAATCAAACTTCTCACGTGCCTTGATTTCATTTTTGTCCAATCAGATTCCACAATTGACCTAGCTGCTTGCTTTCTAGCTGGTGATTTATCACTTGCATATAATTAATTATACATGAAAGATTAAAGAACTATGTGGCCCGGTCAAGGGATCATATTTTTAACATGCAAAGTTTAAGGACATATTTATCCTTGTTATAAAGTTGGATGCTGCTTAATGCTATTGCTTTTTGATTAAAATCCTTCTTTTCACCTGTTTTCTGTGGCTTTGATGATAACTTTGTTTCTAACTTTTCAGCGTGTGAAAATGTCGGGTTTGTGTTTAAGGGTAGCTTTCAGTTGCAATTGTGAAGAAAAGTAGCTCTTTTAATATAGGGTTTTTATATCCGTTCTTTTATAAAGGAATCTGATCTGATTAGTATAAAAAGTAGCCTCATTTCCACCAGCAAACTTTTCCAATTATATAATGTGGACAAGGAAGCATTTTCGTTTCCTTTACTTGAAAAAGAGATGCACTTTTTCTTTAGGATGCTTTAGAAGTCTCTTTTTAATTTAATAACAAAAGCATAAGTTAAAAAGGATAAAGTGATTTGCATGAGTGCACCCTTTTGATATATAGAGCACCTCCTCTTTCTATCTTTCTTGCCACTATATGACATGTTAACTCGCTGATAGTGCATGAAACTTGAAAGGCGCAGAATATAATCTGGATCTGGTTTTATATTAACTTGTAATTTTATTCTTCATTTGGGCCAAGAGGCATATTTTATTAACAGGGTAATAATAATAACATGTGTTCCAAAAATAAAATTTTACTATTAGTTAAATACTAATATGCTCTCCAAAAAACCCCTACCTTTCCCCCTACCAAAGAACCCTTCTCTACCAAAAACAACCCTAGTCTACCAAAGAACCCTAGACCTTCTTTTAGAAATGAATAGAAGATGGCTTCATGAGATTAATTACTAATCAACCTTACAATGATTATTCTCATTGAGCATGTAGAAAGAGGAAAAAACATATGGAAGGGGCAAAGATCTTTCCCAAGTATCCTTAAAAAAGAAAAAAAAAAAATCCATTACTTACCACACCAATGACACCATCTACAACCAAATTAGAGAAAAGAGAAGAGCTAGGGATAGTTGTACAAATATACTTTCGGCAAGGTGAAGGAGAACCAGTGAAAAAAATCAAGTCATTTTTGTACACTAATTTGTATTTCTAAATGATGAAATCCCGTCTCTTATACAAATTGCCATCATTGAATCTCCACAACCATGGGCTTTGTTTTTGCAGGAAGCGAGGTAATGTCAATACCACCACATTTTTTTAAGGGCGAGCAAGCAAATCCCGAGCTACTTTATAAACAAACTTTTTATCTAAACAACCAATCTAAAGAAATCTGTGTTGAACAGACACTAATTATTGAGCCAGCCACACCTTTCGACAATTTGAAGAGAGATAAGCATTAAACTAGGATGCTGGATACAACAAATTTGAGGAGGCAGATTCTTCCTCCCAAAGAAAGATACTTCTCCTTTCATGTCTTTAGGCAATTCTTAACACTATCAATCACTAGATTCTAAGTAAAAATGCATCTAGGACTTAGAACCAATGGCAAGCCAAGTATTTACAAGGAAGGTGACCCATTCTATACCTTAGAAGGCTCGCCATATTAGAGCAATAATCATGATTAACATTCAAAGAGTTTTTGAAAAAATTAACCTTTATCTCTGAGCATAATTCAAACCTTTGTACAACTCGTTCCACATTTAAGAGGATCTCAAAATAATTAGAACAAAAAATAATCATATCATTAGAGATGACAATGAATAGATTGCTACCTAAATCAATACTATTGAAAAGTCCAACATTAGATGCTCTATCAAACAAGATCGAGAGTCTCTCAACGACAAGATCAAAAAGGAACAATGGGTCACCATGATGGATTCCTTTAGTAGTAATGAATTCAGAGTTTAGAGATCCATTGATTAGGATTGAGAGTCTAGTTGTGCTGATGTATTGTGAGATCTAACCTTTCCAATTAGAACATACCTCATATAATTCATAATGTGTAGCAAGTATTCATAAATAATGAAATCAAAATATTTTAAAAATTAATCTTAAAAGTAAAACCTTAAACGTTCCTCTTTTTCATACTATGGATTATCTCATTTAGCAAAAAATATTGTCTAAAATTTGCTACCAAGAAATAAAAGCAAATTGGTCGTTATTGAGAACTTCATGCATAACACCCTTTAGATGAAGAGCAAATACCTTAGTTGTGATTTTGTATGGACTATTAACCAGGCTAATTAGTTTTTTTTTTTAACAAAAAATAAGGATGGTACTTTGAAAAATTTTATTGATTTGAATAAAAAATATATTAGGGGAGACAAATCGACCTTACCCTGATGTAAAGATGACTAGGAAACCTAACCTCTAAACTAGACAAAGATAACTACTCGCAATAATTGTATAGACCCATACTATCATCTGTACATGCTTAAGTAATGACTAATGATAATTCATGAAAATTATAAAAACATCTTGTATTCTCCATGGCTATAGGCTAAATTAGCTAGTCTATCTGCAAGTATATTTTATTCTCAAAGAACATGAATAATCATATTACCACCTAAAAAGTGTTGATACTGGCAAAGTTTTTAGGCATATTTCTATGGCCATTAAGAAATATTTAATAAGGCATTTACAACCACCAAAGAATTAGATTCTATTCCAACATGCCAAATCCCTAACTCTAGACATAGACACAGGGTTTCTCTTAAAGTAAATATCTACCCTTATATATTTAAACTCACTCCATAAAAATTTGAAAAACAAATGATTACAGCTTCAATGCATGATCAGATAACACCACCACTAGTACATCTTCCATCCCTTGCAGAACCATCAGTATTCAATTTTAAAGTAACGCTTCAGAAGAAGAATCCATCTAAGCAACCCCTCTCATTATTGGAAAATGAAGGATCGATAAGCTGAACATCTCAGTTTTCTCCAAACCTATAGAATTAGATTCTCATTTAGGT